ATAACGTAGAACATCGAAGCCAGCTGATAGCAAGGACAACGGGTTCCGTGTCTGTAGAGTCCATTTTCGTCGAGATAGGCCTAGCTCCTCGCTTTAACGACCGCCTCCCTCCGAAAAAAGTTACTGGTTCTCCCAAGCATTATCTACCTTCCCCCTCCCCCCCTCCCCTTCTTTCATTTCGCATTCACTAGCCCCCCTCCCTCCCCCTCAACCGCTCTCCTCTTTTGGCTCTTCCGCCTTCACTTCATTTTGCTATTTCTCTTTTTCTTTCTCTCTCTCTTTCTAGAAATTCGTCTATTTCGTTTGTTTACTATTTCGTTTCTCTTACCTCATTTAGTCTTCGATTCTTCTGTATTCTCTTTATCCTCGTTTAACCTCATTCTATTATCCTTATTTTCTCCCCCCTTCATCTTCCCCTTCTCTCATTCGTCTCATATTCTCCATTTCCCCGTGTCTTTCTATCCTCATTTAGCTCCCTACTCTTTCAAATTCTCCCTTTTCTCTTTCTTCTCCCTCTCCCCTCATCTCCCCTCAGTCTCTCTCCTTATCCTTCCACTCTCCTTCTCTCCCCTCTGTCTCTATTCTGTTCTTGTCTCTCTCTCTCTCCATTTTGAGTTTTATTTCACTCATTTTACTCCTTCCTTCTTTCTCTCTCACTGCCACTCCCTCTGCTCCTTCACTATTCCTTACTCCCTCTCGCTTTCCCGTCTTCTTATTCTTTCTCTCTCTCCTCCATTCTCCCTCTTCCTCCTCCCTACTCCTTCCCCGGACGTCACCACTCTCTCTCCCCTCTCCCTGCTCCCTCTCGCTATTCCATCTCCTCCCTTCTCTCTCACTCCTCTCCCTTCTTCCTAATCCTTCCACCAACTACCGCCACTCCCTCTCCTCCTCCCTAATCCTGTTCCTCGCTCCCTACTCCCTCCCTCGCCTAATCACTCCTTCCTCTCCCTCCCTTCTCCCTCGCAGCTCCTCCCTAACCCTGTCCCTCACTCCGAGACACTCCCTAAGTCGGTCTCGAAACCACTCCTCCTCCTCTTCTGTCTCTTCAATCTTGGGAGTCTTTAAACTTCGCTATTTTCATTGTCTCTTTCTTTGTGTTTCTTCTTTTCTCCGTTTTTTTCTATCTTTCTTTTTTTTCTGTTTCGTTTTCCTTATTCTCCTTTTTTCTTCCTTCTTCTTCTTCTTCTCTTTTTCTTCTCTTTCGTATTATTATTATCATTGTTTTTTTCCTTTCTTTGTCTTTTTGTGTTTATTTTCATTTCTTCTTCTTCTTCTTCTTCTTCTTATTATTATTATTCTTCCTCCTCCTCCTTCTTCTTCTCCTTTTCCTCTCCTCCCTTCTCCTTTTTCCTCCTTCTCTTCTCCTTCTTCTTCTTCTTTTTCTTCTTCTTCTCCTCCTCCTCCTCCTCCTCCTCCTCCTCCTCCTCCTCCTCCTTCTTCTTCTTCTTCTTCTTCTTCTTCTTCTTCTTCTTCTTCTTCTTCTTCTTCTTCTTCTTCTTCTTCTCTTCTTCTTCTTCTTCTTCTTCTTCTTCTTCTTCTTCTTCTTCTTCTTCTTCTTCTTCTTCTTCTTCTCTTCTTCTTTTCTTCTCTTCTTCTCCTTCTTCTTCTTCTTCTTCTTCTTCTTCTCCTCCTCCTTCTCCTCCGTATTTGCTAGACAGGAAATAATATCACCTGAGCTTCGGGGAATATTTTGTGACCTGGTAAAAAGTTAATGAAAAAATGCACATCCCTCTCTTTCACTCTCTCATTCACGAACTTACTCATTCTCTCCATTTGCTCATTCGTTACTCATTCACTCCATTCACCCATTCGCTAACACGCGTTGCGCTCTCCCTACCCGTGTCCTCCCCTTTGTTTTCTTTGGGTCAGTGATATTCAACTTTGGGGTCCTTTGGCCACTTGACTCACACTCCGGGGCCACTTGTCAGACTCACACTTGCCACTTGACTCACACTCCGGGGCCACTTGACTCACACTCCGGGGCCACTTGACTCACACTCCGGGGCCACTTGCCACTCCGGGCCACTTGACTCACAACTTGACTGACCAACGTAAAAGAAAACCCTCGCGTACTCTTAAAACCAGCATATCCACACACTCGTTTGACGGTCATGCTACCCTCAAACCACGCGCGGTAAAGGCTATTCTAACCCTGCCTTATCTCTCGGCTGTTTTAACATCGCCGCAACGTTACATGGAGACCCTGCCCCCTCCCCCCACCTCCACCCCACCCACCAAAAAAAATGCAAATCTGCGCAACGTTACATGGAGACCCAGCCCCATCCCCCCCACCTCACCCCCTCCCAACCGACCCCCAACGTTTACATGGAGACCCAGCCCATCCCCTCCCACCTCACCCCCTCCCCCCCGCCCCACCACCCGACCCGACCCCCTACGTTACATGGAGACCCAGCCCCCTCCTCCCCCACCCCACCCCCCAAAAAAATGCAAATCGGTAGGCTAGACACTGAATATAAGAATCATTTAGGAGGTCAAGAAC